GCATTCAAAGTTCTTCATACTTCCATATATTCATACCCAACCACTCCCGCTTCTACTTACCTTTGCCCCATTCCTGTAGTTCAATTATACTTCTAATTCTCTGAACAGATAATATTCTTTTAATCCTTCATGTTTATTGCCATGAAGCTCTGTGCATAATTCTATCACTTCACTCACAATCTTATAATTATCTATTTGCATCTTTCTCTCCAAGAACCTCCTCCGTATCTAGGACTACATCCACATTTTTGTATCTCTGGCACCTGCCACAATGCCTGGCTTATCTAAGACGGTCAATAAATCATTGTTCAATAAAATGGGTGAGTATCTGAATAAATGCCATTCACTCAGTTTAACATTCCCTTTTTCCCTTTGTACAAGTAGAAAACACACCATTCTCAACATTCAACTGAAAGTTTACCTCTGAAGAAATTTTCTGGTTTCCCCAAGCAAAGCTTAAGGATCCTTTCCCTGTGATCTTTACATACACCTCAATTACAGAAAAGACCACATTTTACTGAAGTGGTTGTTTACATGTTCAATTCTTCCAGCAACCTAATTAATACAGCTGGGCAAAAAGAGAAGACAATAAATTCAAACCATAAAAGGAAAAAAAATCTCTAAACTACATCTTACTGAAGGGTTTGCCAATTCCTAGTGAAAAAAAAATTAAAAGTTAATCTCAAAAATTCAGGAAACATATACATATATTCTTGTGTACAGTATATTTTTTCAATTAAACCTGTCAAGTCTTTTTAAATGTGCAACTTAATATCCCTTTCAAATATTGTAACAGACAGTTATCTGAGTAAGGTGGACACAAATGACTATTGAAATTAAGATTCCGATGCCCAAAGTGGCAAGAGAAAGAAAGAAAAGAGAACCCTGAAGAACTGACTAGTCATCTCTTAATCCTGAGTACATTATGTTACATGTTAGGCAAGCACAGCTGGTTTCCAATGGATGGCTGTAAAGGGAAATTAAAACTATAACAACCACCTCTCCACCCCTAGTCCTACTTGCATCTCCTATGAGCAGGGGCAGGAAAAGCATTATGGAAAATATGGTTTGGACAACCTATCATACACTATTAGGATAAATCACGTATGTTTATTCAGCTTTTTATTCAACAGGAAGCCTAACACGTTGCCTTTTACCTAGTAAGTGATCCAAATATTTATAAAATGAGTAAATTAAATCATTTCATAATGCCAACTGCATATTAGTAATCTGATAAAAAAGCATGTTCCTCCTGTTGCTTTATTACTCTTGCCATTGACACTCACGTGACCTCACAATTTGCCATTGATTGGAATTCAGTGAAATACAAGTGGGGAGCTACGATACCCTGAGACAGGTTGGAAACTTGTTACTAAACTAGGAAAGATCTATGATATGTATCATAGCAGGTACAGACTGTCGTATTGTGGATGATAACATATTGATCCAGTCGCCATAATTCTTGTCTGTCCTCAAGGAGCTTACAATTTAGAACAGAAGTAATTTTCTTTTTTTTTTTTTTTTTTAACATTTTACTTATTTGACAGAGAGACACACAGCAAGAGAGGGAACACAAGTAGGGGGAGTGGGAGAGGGAGAAGCAGGCTTCCCGTGGAGCAGGGAGCCCGATGCGGGGCTTGATCCCAGGACCCTGGGATCATGACCTGAGCCAAAGGCAGACGCTTAACGACTGAGCCACCCAGGCACCCTAGAACAGAAATAATTCTATGGGGCTGTAATACCAGGTAAGTTGAGGGAAGAACCAACTACGTAGCTCAGCCACGGTGCTCAGGGAAGGCTCCGTGGCATCTCAGCCAGACCATTGTTGGTTCACAATCTGGCCCTTATACACGGAGAGCAAGGGGAGAGTGAAGAAAGGGACAGAGCACTCCAGATTGGCAGGTGGCAGGTTTAATAAGCCAAAAAACTTACTTACAAGGCTTTCTTTGGGCTCCCTTGAGACGAGTAGATCTCCACACCAGCAGACAAGAGTTTTAAAAGTTTATATAGGAGCCTTAATTGGGTTCAGTCCTATACCATCCGGACGGCCTCAACAACACATTGCTCTCTCAAGGCTGTGTCCTTGAAAACTGCTCCCACGGTGGGAACGGTGGGGAGAGCGTACGTTCCACCCACAGGGAAGGCAGTGAGGAGCCTCTAATTGCCCAGATCTAGCTTGGGGGTCAACTAGCGGTCATGGCCTCTCGATGACCTCCTCTAACAACCAGGAGAATGAGCGGGCTTCCTTTACGTGGGAAAGCGCCCAGGATGAGAATTTAAAACACACAGGCTCACTCCAGGTGGAGTCAATCTCTTGTGCAAGCCCACAGAGGCTGGAATTCTGAATCTCTAATTCAGAAGGAAAACCTTCCTGGCCCCATGTTTACTGATCACGATATTGAAAAAGAAATCCTAGTCTCTGTTTAACTCAGTTACTTGTACATAGATCCCAGATGATTAGTAGTTGCTGATATGGAGGAATGAGACAGTGGGAGTGGAAATCGATGAAAGCTGTATAAATGAGCAACCTGGGACTTGGGACCTGGCTTCAGCCATGATGCTCACCAGCCACGTGCTATCGGGACACTTAGCACCCGCAGGCTTTAGCTTCCTCAACTCTAGAATGAGGGAACTAGACCAGAGGAGACTCTAAGGTCTCTTCCTAGCACCACACATCCACAACAGACCAATTACCTGGGTTCTTGCCTCTCCTTGTCCATTATTCATTAGCATGTCCACAGGAGCAATAAAAGGAAGTGAAATTTAAACCAGCCAATTTTGCTGCTTATCTGTTCTGGGAAAAGGTTTGATGAACCAGGGAGCTGAGGGCTATCTGTTGGCTTCAATTATCAACACATTTCCTGCCCACCATTACACCACCGATAATCAAGATTTTACTTTTCAAGCACGGTCAAGCTACTATTAGAATATCTTTTTTAGTATCTCTGAAGTTATTTTCATGCCCCTTCTGACAACTCTTTGTAGATGCACAGAGTCCTAAAGGCCATTATATAATAGCTGAATATTAAACACTAGGTACTGTATAATTTGCTAGAATTACCTGTCAGTTTCAAATTTGTGCTCTGCTCACAAAAATCAAATGTCGTTTCTCATCCGTTGAAACACAGACATTAAAATGGACAGACAATACTGTTTGTAACATCCGGGTCACAGATAATAACCACAGTCTTTTCACATTCAATAATCATACCAATAACCAATATTCACATTGCATTTATGTGCCAGACACTGTGGTGAATGCTTTACATGCTAAAGGCTTCATATTATTGTCTCTCACCTGCTGCAAAGGAAGCTCCATGCGGGCAAGGATTCTCCTGTTTCTTTCACTGCTGATTCCCCAGGATATGAATCAGTGCTCTGCACTATTTGGGCATTCAATTGCCAGTGGTTTGTCTCTAGACCTCACACTATCTACTGCCATTTCGTGACTGATAGGCTGGTGTTGTAGCTTCTGTGGGAAGTTGTGCCATGAAGGAGTCTCGAGAATCTGCCCCCATTATTCACCACTAGGGTGACCTTGACAAATTATTTAACTGTTGGATGCCTCTCTTTCCTACTCTATAAAATGAGCATAATACTACCTCTACCTCTATCTCATAAAGTGATGAAGATTACTATCATTTGCCATGTAACAAATCACCAAAAATAATGACTTTGAACAATAGCATCCATTTATTTTTGCTCATAGATCTTCAGTTTAGACAGGGCTTAGTAGGGAAAGCTCGCTTCTGCTCCACACAGCATCGGAAGGGGCAGCCCAACTGAGTACAGGATGATCTGCCTCCAAGTTGACCTGCTCACATGGCTGGCAAGCTGGTGCTGACTGGTGACGGAGAGGGGTCTTTGTTCTTCTCCATGTGGCCTGCACTTTCTCACAGCATACCAACTGCATTTTAAGGAAATCATCCCCAGAGAGGGAACCAGGGCAGAAACTGTATTCCCTCTTTGGACTTAGCTTTGGAAATCCCATACCATCACTTTCACCGTACTCTCTTAGACAAAACAGTTGACAAAACCCGCCCAGCTTTAGGAGAAAGAGACATAGACTCTACCTCTTATTGAGGGAATGGCAAAGTTCTAGAAGAGCACCGGGGAAAGGAAATGTTGTGGTCATTTGGGGAATATACAATCTGCCACAACCTTACCCCCGAATCTGGTTTTCCTCTCAGGAAATGTGTATACAGAATGATTGGAATGTCCAGTTACTCTGTGATTAGGTAAAACCGTACTCTCTAATGACATGGGATGGTAGGGCACTATTCACTCATCAGCCACAATAACGTGTGAGGGTTGATCGGGGGGTTTTCCCATGCCCCATGGCAGATAGGTAGGGAATTCCCAGGCACTGCACCAGGGAAGCCAGAAGTAAACCAATCTATGTATCAAACTGAAAAGGAGAAGTGGAGACGAAACCAGAGAATGGATACTGACCAGCCATGAAGAAAGAAAACAAAAATTTGTTAAGTCCCTGCTATAATGGATACTTTGTTTAGCTAATCAAATCTTTCTACAGCCTTGCCTTTCCACTGATCTAAAGGCTTTAAGTCATCATAAAGCTTGAAAATTTTACAACATACCATCTCCCGATATAAACCCCACAGCAAGTGCTATCAGTATAATTATCCTAAGAGTATCCAATAAGACCGTTCTAAAACAGCTCCTCCCAGGGTAGGAGCTAGTGCAATGATGGGCCAACTTGCTTAAAGAAGGCGTTTCTAGCCCAGTCCTCAGAGTACTCTGATTGGGCTGGCTCGGGTCACATGCTACCCACACATCAAAGACTCTGCCAGGGGAAGATACTATGCCTGCTGGTGCAAGAAAATAGCAGCACCCTTGGGTTTGGACATTTCTGTCATCTAAGCTTCTCCAGGCAGTTTATAGAGATGTTAAATAAAATAGGCTCTAGAAATGTTCATTTGATTCTAATATTTTTCTTCTCTAAATCAATTCCTTATCTATAACAAAGTATCTTTTCTTACCCAATTCTGTGAAATCCTGAAGCTTCGGAAGGATGTTTTTATAAAATGGTTCCATTTACAAGTAATTCTATAGCAAAGTCCCTGAGGATCGTGATGCAGTGAAGTTTTAGTATAATATTCTCTTCGAAGCAATAATTCAGCCATTGTAGTGCATATCACGGGATCCTGGGTTTAATGAGAGTTTTGCTGCAAGGCATCCAATATCCATCCAGTGTGCTTAAGAAAATCAGGTAAAACAGGTGTTTCCTCAATTAACAATTTAAAGTTTTGTTACATGAAAAATAAGTGAACCAAAATAGAAGATAATATTCTTAGCAAAACATACCAGTACTCTACATTTCCTGTTTTTCCAAAGACCTTGAATGTATCATTTCATGTATACATTTTTAAAGTAATTAATGTAATGCATCCTTGGCTAAGAAAAATACTCCCAAAATCATTATTCACAGCAACCTCACATTAACCAGCCTGTGTTTAATCAAAAAAATTCGTCAGTCTCTGAAGTGTACTTTTTACCTTCTGAAGAATTAACATAAGTAGTATGATTAATTGAAATTTCTAATTTTATGAAAAAATCATGCTTAAATATTTAAAAATAGGTAGTTTCCATGTTTACAAACACTGTTAATCATGTTGTTTCTTCAGTTAACTTATTGGCAGTTTAACTTTGACGGAATCAGAACTTCTCCAAAATCATATGAAAATTGAATCTCTTGGTCATATCCTACTTAGGATTCATTGTTGATGGCTCTCAGAAGGCTAGCATCTGTCTAATACACTACCCAAGATAATTCTCACAGTGGAATAAAATGATATTTGATTCCATTCCCAACTTCCTAATTAACTTAAGCGAGTCATATGAAATCCAGTTCCTTACTTTTTTCTGAATATTATACTAGAAATCTGAAGAAAATCTGAAATTATTTGAAGTCCTAAATTGTTCGTCTGAAAATATTTCAAAATATCCTCACAGAAGACCTAGGGAAGAAAGACAAAGGACATAATGACAATAAGAAAGACGTAGGCCTGAGTGTATTACCATCTAAGCCTGGCTTGCTCTGGTTTCCATGTCCTCTGCCTGCTCGTTTGCTCACTCTCTCACTTCAGGGAAACCAGATTTGAAAACCAAACCAAAACATTTCCTCTGTCATCCTTTATACAAATCTATTAACTTCAAAGGGAGCTTTGTTTATGTTTAGGAATAGCTATATAATTTTTCTCCCAAGCCAAGAAACTTTTAAGAAAACAAGGGGATATTAGTTATAACTAACTTGCTCGACCGCCATGAACTGGGACTGTCCTGGGCAAATCGGGGCATAGGCTCACTCTACTTACAGACAATGATGACCTGGTCTAAGAGAAACTAAGTTCAGGAAGAGCAGTTGTTCATTGAAAACATCACAACATTCTGCACTGCATTGACTTTTCTCCTTTCGTTTAAAACTCAAATTCTCGGGGCGCCTGGGTGGCTCAGTTGGTTAAGCGACTGCCTTCGGCTCAGGTCATGATCCTGGAGTCCCGGGATCGAGTCCCGCATTGGGCTCCCTGCTCAGCAGGGAGTCTGCTTCTCCCTCTGACCCTCCCCCCTCTCATGTGCTCTCTCTCATTCTCTCTCTCTCAAATAAATAAAATCTTTTAAAAAAAAATTAAAATAAATAAAATAAATAAAATTCAAATTCTCCTTGGTATAAGATCCCAATCCTTGCACTTGCCTTCTTTAGTTTCCTCCCTAATCTGCTATAGCTCCCCCCCCAATTTCTTATATATTCACCAGCGCCCTGACAGAAGAGATGACAAGTATAATCAAGTGGAGACAAAGCCTGGACCGACTATCATCACAACCAAACCATTTCTAAGAGTGCCTTGTATTATCATCTCCTAAAAACTTGGGGATTTAAATGAGTCTGTCTAGAATAGGGTGCTTGGAATCTTACTGACATTTCCCTGAGCGCAAGTTTCTCCCCACGGGGCTTGCTCAAAGTTACCCACATCTACCTTAGCCCCTGTGGATCCAGAGTTCCCTCATCTGCAAGGCTTATAGCTGCTATGTACTTAGACCAGAGCTCTCTGATGACTGGGTTGTTGTTAAATTACATGAACCGCTCCAAAGGAATCAGATCTTGGGATAGCTCCAAAGACAGGTTATTTTCTTTTCATTCCCAATTGAGTCAGAAAAATTTATTCATTTACTAGTCAGAAAATAAACTTGATGCATGCTCCTCAGGAGATCCCTGTGCTGTACCTTTGAATGGCAAAATGCCACATGTACATCGGAAAGGAATACTTCATCACATGGCCCATGGCCACAGCTGCTTGGGCCACAATTCACTCAGAGCTTGTAAGGTAAGCAAGACTGCGTCCAGAAACTACCGTGGAAAACAGGCCCAAAGGGAAGTCGTGCTGTGTTCCTGGTCAGGTCTTTTCTTCTGGCTTCATTGGAGGAGTGCCTTCACAGATGCTGGCGGGGGGGGGGGGGGGGGGAGGGCGGGCGCTGGGCTGCTGAGACATGCTTTCCGCAGCAAGAGTTGGGGGACCCTCGGTGTAGACAAACCTTCCATGACATTGTCTCTGCCCTTCTTCTCCAAAACGACAGCGCCTGGATCCTCTACTACTGCACGACCAGCTTATTTCCACCTTCTCGAAGTGTTCCCTAGTGGTTTTAACTGTGGACAATATAGTCCCCTTTTTGACTAAAGCTGGGCGAGGAAACGGGCTATTCTTCACTCAGTCGTGACCATTTTCACTGATGAAATGGTTGGATTTCTTCAGTGAGTGCCAAGCCTTCCATTGTCAAAAGTAAACAAAATGAAACGGAACAAAAACATCTCACGAACAGCTTTAGGAGAGTAGAATCTGTCTCCTTAGAGTAAACGGTTCTCCAGATCAAGCATGGACCTAATTTTTTTTAAGTTTCAAAGTCACAACAAATATCTGATGTCCCCAATAACATACATACATGCCTTGAATCACTGATGGTCTAAAAGTCAGTTAAATGATAACTAAGGGAAAAAGTTCGCAACTTAAGTATTAGGGGAATTAAGATTTCATTCCTTTTACCGGAAAAAAATATCACCATTATTTGAAGCTTACCAAAAAAAAAAGATTTTTTTTATGGGCATATTTTAGCCCACCACACTGTAATCAAGCATTTTTATGGGGCCCATTTATATTAATAAGGCAGTAAAGGAGGAAGCTTCAGTTAAAAAACATTTGTGGCAGAAGCCTTGGGAGTCAATGACAAGACAAAATAGGAAGCAGCGTCTTCTGATTCTACCAACTACTCTGGATTCATCCTGCTTCCAAATTCCACTTGCTTTTTTTTTTTCTTTTTGGTGGATGTGGGAACACCCTGACCAGTCTCGAAAAGTAGGACTTGATGGCCCATCATGTGAAAAGCTATTAACATATCCACAGTTGGCCCTGAAATATGCTTTCAAGAATTGCGAAGATTTGCCAACCCCCATTTGAATTTTTCTTCAGAAAAGTGCACTTTTATTAACACCCTCCTCCCTACTGTGGATAAAAATGGTCTCAGTATTCTCATGGGAAAAAAGAGCATTCTGAAGAGCCTCTGTAGATAGAGAAATAGAGTTTTCCTGGCCAAGAATAAAAACGGGAAAGTCTGAAATGTTTAACGCCTCTGATTAAACCTTCAGTGGTGTATTTCTCTTAGACAAAGCATTTGTCATAAGTAGCTTGTCTGCCTGGGTATGATTTATGTGGCTGGACTGAAATTGGCTGAATAATTTATGCTATTTATTGTTCTAGAAAGTTTATTTTCTTAATAAATAAATAAGTGCTGTGTTAGGAGAAGGAGAAGGGGAAAACAGTGGCAAGTGTCAGTGGTGTAGGGAGGGAAAAAGTTATTTTTCCGTGTTGAAAGCTAATGAAGTATATCTAAGAGGAATGGTCTCCACAGAGAAGGGCAGGACTCTAACCGGTGAATATTGTTAGCATTTTCAGTGAAGCCAATTGGCTAAGAGAAGCTGTCAAATAGGTGTGAAATGAGGTAAAATTACGAGCGATACACTTTCTTTTAAGGTACTTTGCTTTGTTCCTTACAGTGCCTTGCAGCAAGAAATTTAATTTAAATACTGAAAATGGAATGCAGTTATATTGATTTAAATCTGCTAAGAAAGTCTTGGACTCTATTTCCTGTTTCCTGCATAAGTACAAAATGTGTTTGAGCCTGTGTATATGCTTGCGTGTGAGTGCCATCAGCTTTTCTACTATTTATGAGTGAGTCACAGTTTATTAGACCCTACCACAATGTATATTAGCATAAAACACATAACTTGAATTGTCAGTTTATAAAATTTTCAGAATGTATGATTATAGTTCTGTTCCTCCTGTAAATTTTTACTTAACTCTGATGATTTATCCTACCTGCCGAAGCACGGAGCTCGTATTAGATCTCGGTTGTTTTTTGTTGAGCTTTTTTTTTTTTTTCTTTGGTTACCATTTTATCACATAAATTTTTATTCCTGGAACCTATGCCAAAGACAGAGTTGTAGACAAAAGAATGGATGGATGAGTATGCAGAAATACATGTGGCTCAGTTCAGCTGAAACGGTTTCATAGATAACTCATTGTAAGCTCTAACTAAAAATATTTGAAATGTTTACAGGCTGCATAATATATATGTTTGACATATTAAAGGAGACTTCTATCAGCTGCTCAGTAACCATTCCAGAAAAACGCCTTAAAAGAACTCAAGCAAAATCACAGCCCCTCATCTGCAGTGCTGTTTCTAATTTGAAGGCAAATTCATCTCTGACATACAGCAGATTCTGTGCAGGTGGAAGCAAGCCCCTCTCTGCTCCTCTCTCTGCCAGTCAAATTATGTCATCAGTGAAGGATCACTGGTTTTTAATGATACGGTGGCCTCCATACTGAGAAGCAGTCCTAGCAGAGCAATATGCATAGCCAATAAAATGGCTGTCACCAAATTACAATTGACACTTAACATCACTAAATCTGCAGTGTAATTCCTTGTGACAGTTGTGTAGGTATATTAGAAGAAAATAATTTACTTCAAACCCAGCATGTTAGACACATTTTCCTGAGCGTAATTCATGTCACATTTACAGTAGCCAAAGCAAGCAGTCTCGAGGCAACCTTAATCTGGGAAGAGATCATAGATACTAACATGTTCATTGAAGTATGATTATTTATGCATGCAATAAACAAAGCTAGAGCAGTTGTTCATTGTAGGTTTTAATTGTTATTGGGGGTTTTAATTGTTATTGGGTTTTAAATGAATATTAGCCTCTTTTGCTGTAGGGAATAAGAAAAAAAAAAAAAAGCCACATTTTACATGGAAAACAGGCATCAGCGAGAAAATCTTCTTTTTTTTTTTTCCCAGGGATTTGATGGACGTTCGCGTGGCCCTCACCCCCTCTCCAGCTCTGGCCTGGGTTCGCACTTGAAATTCTACACCAACCGCCACATGACAAAAGCATCCACAGGCAACTTCCAAAACACAAGTAAACTAAACCACCGGCAACAGTATTTCTCTTTTCTCAGAGTAATAACGTTGGAGAACAAAAGGTTTGAGAGGCAGACCCGGTTTCTTCTGGCATACTATTTTGATACATTCACCCCGAGCAGATCTGCAGAAAGACCCTTCCCTGGCCTTATAAGCATATATAAATATGTGACAGAGTTAAAGGTCTCCACTCTCCAGAATGAAGTGGTTTGAATGTCTGGCGAAATGGGACTGCAAAAAATTCATTCCAACTTTGTCTCTAGGCAATTCACCTTTGGCCCAGTGATGATATGAGTCTTTCTGCTGATGGGAGAGATATAATAAGTCAGGTCAGGCAGTCTCTAGAAGGCAGGGGCCTATTTGTTAGCAGAATGAGGCAGGTGTACTATTCTAGGGGAGATTAGCTCATCCCAGCATGATAATTACCTCACAGGAAACCCTCAAGGTGACACATCAAATGTAGGAGCTGAACCTCCAGTCCTGGAAATGGGC